CTTTCCCGACCCCCTCAGCCGGCCCTGGTGGGATGTTCGGGGGGGCACCATGGAGGAGGTGGGATCACCCCCTTGGAGGGGCTTAAACCCCTCTTCCCTCCCCATCGCGCCTCATCCCAGGCCGGGAATTGCAGTGGGATCATTCCCTCTGGGGGGATTTTAGCCCTTCTCCCCGCTCAGGAGCGGGATTCTCATTCTCCTCCTCTGCTCAGCTTTGCTGGGCCCCTGTCCCCGCTCCCTCACGGCTCCCGCTGCTCCAGCCCCGTTACCCGCGGCCGCTCCGTTTCTGGAGGCTTTAGGGGCGCAGAGATCCAGCACCGGCTTCCCTCCGCGGGGACCGAGGGCTTTGTGCCCCCCTCATTCCGGGATTCCCGCTGGGATCCGCGCTCCCGGGGCTCCTGCACTGCCCCGGAGGGTCGTGCTGTTCCTCATCCATCCCGGGCAGGTGCCAGAACTCAGATAAAAGCGACCCATTCGTTCTTAAAGCGCGGCCTTGAGCCCGAGCGTGGCTTCGCCTGGGTCGCGCTTTCCCACGTTCAGGGCAGAAATTCCAGCCTTTTACGTCCTTTGGTTGTTTTTCCCTCCGTCCTCCCAAAAACGCCTTCGGGAGAGTCACTCGTTCCCTTGGGAGCGCGGGAAGTTTGGTGGATTCCTGCCGGGGGTGGAGGGGAGGAGGCGGTGAGGCCGAAACCAGGTGATATTGCAGAGTTTGTGCCGTTTCCAAAGGCAGGGATTGTTTCTGTCAGGATTGGGCTCCTGCTTTAACTGAATCTGTGGTTCTCCTCAAGAGACACAGGTCTGGTGGTGTTGCAGCATCAGCTCGCAGATTTCTCCCTCCGAAAATAGTGGGATAACGGGGACAAAGCTGTTGTGATTCTGACTGTAGGAACAACCGGGGGGATTTCAACCCTTTCCTTGTCCAGCCTGAAGGAAACGGAGGGAATTTTAAGGAAAATAACGGGGCCTGCAGGGCCCAGCCCAGAGCAGCAGGCACCAGGAGATGCCATGTGGCTCCTTGGGAATGATTCTCCCTGCTCAGCCGGCACCGGTCGGGGCTTAATTACAATTAAATCCAGATTTATGGCGCTGTTAAGTCATCGTGTGAATGAACTGGCAGGATTGGAGTCGCAGGGGTTTCCTTGGATGGAATTGTGTGTCCGTACAGCGGCTGGAGGGAATGAGTTTTCCTGGTTTTTTTAATCCTAAAACTGTGAGCCCCAGCTCTGGGTGAGCGTGGAACAAATTGGAACAAAAAGGAATTGGAACAAAAAGGAATTGGAACAAAAAGGAATTGGAACAAAAAGGAATTGGAACAAAAGGCTCCTCTGCCCCAGCTGGGGGCAGTTCCCACAAAAAGGCAGGAATTTGGTGTCACTTGGGCTGAATCTGTTGAATTCCAGGACTCCTGAGCGCTGCGTTCCCACCTGGGTTTCCCAGGGCAGCTGCTCCATCCCGTGTGGAGAGGGGAGTTCTGTCTGCTTTGGAAAAGTCCCATTCCATGGGAAAACCTCCTGGGAATAAACGGGAATAGGGATTAATGCTCGGTGTGCTCCATTGCCAGCCTGCAGCTCTCGGGGATATGCGGAGCAGAGAGCTGGGCTCTGGCTAACGAGTTGGCATCTGTCTAATTGCTGTTGTGCCTCCAGCTCTGGCTGTGCCCCGGCTCACCCTCTCTCTGCCGTTCCAGACCCCGCAACGCCGCGCTGCCGCGACGCTCTGCTCGCCAGAGAAATCCAAATAAACCCCTCACCAACCTTCAGGCGGGCAGCAGAAAACAAAAATGGTAAGGGCCGGGTGGGTTCCCCGGGGCGTGGGGTGAACATCCATATCCTGGCACTTCCTATTTCTAAATGTTCCTGCCCTGGCAGCGCCCGATGCGGATCTTTGTGAACGACGACCGGCACGTGATGGCCAAGCACTCGGCCGTGTACCCCACGCAGGAGGAGCTGGAGGCCGTGCAGAACATGGTGTCCCACACGGAGCGGGCGCTCAAAGCCGTCTCCGACTGGATCGACGAGCAGGAGAAGGTCGGCGGGGAGCAGCCGGAGAGCGAGTCCATGGAGACGGCGGCTGAGGAGGAGAGCAAGGAAGGAGGGTGAGCAGCAGGGCACTGGTGGGACCGTCCTGCTTTAGAGCCCTAAAATTCGCTTAGCCCCCTAAAAACCTGCTGGGAAAAATTGGTGGAAAAGTTGTCTTCCCTGGCTGGGAACTTGAGGGGAATTAACCCAGGCAGGGTTGAGGCGAGTGCTCCAGGTTGATCCTCACAGATGCATTCTTGCAGTTGGATGGGGCTCCCTAAAATTCGCTTAGCCTCCTAAAAACCCTGTCATGATGGTGGAAAAGTTGTCTTCCCTGGCTGGGAACTTGAGAAGAATTAACCCAGGTTTCAGGTTGATCCTCACGGATCCATTCTTGCAGTTGGATGGGGCTCCCTAAAATTCGCTTTGCTCCCTAAAAACCCACTGGTGCTGGTGGAAAAAGTGTCTTCCCTGGCTGGGGACTTGAGAGGAATTAACCAAGGTGCAGGTTGATCCTCACAGATCCATTCTTCCATTTGGATGGGGCTCCCTAAAATTCACTTTACTCCCTAAAAACCCTGTCATGATGGTGGAAAAGTTGTCTTCCCTGGCTGGGAACTTGAGAGGAATTAATCAAGATTTCGGGTTGATCCTCACGGATCCATTTTTCCAGTTGGACAGGGCTCCCTAAAATTTGCTTAGCCCCCTAAAAACCCTGTCATGATGGTGGAAAAGTTGTCTTCCCTGGCTGGGAACTTGAGGGGAATTAATCAAGATTTCGGTTGATCCTCACGGATCCATTCTTCCAGTTGGACAGGGCTCCCTAAAATTCGCTTAGCCCCCTAAAAACCCACTGGTGCTGGTGGAAAAAGTGTCTTCCCTGGCTGGGAACTTGAGAGGAATTAACCCAGGCAGGGTTGGGTTGAGGCGAGTGCTCCAGGTTGATCCTCACGGATCCATTCTTCCATTTGGATGGGGCTCCCTAAAATTCACTTTGCTCCCTAAAAACCCACTGGTGCTGGTGGAAAAGGTGTCTTCCCTGACTGGGGAGTTAACCAAGGCAGGGTTGAGGGGAATGCTCCAGGTTGATCCTCATGGATCCATTCTTCCAGTTGGATGGGGCTCCCTAAAATTCGCTTAGCTCCCTAAAAACCTGCTGGGAAAAATTGGTGGAAAAGTTGTCTTCCCTGGCTGGGAACTTGAGAGGAATTAACCAAGGCAGGGTTGAGGCGAGTGCTCCAGGTTGATCCTCACAGATCCATTCTTCCAGCTGGGTGGGGCTCCCTAAAATTCGCTTTGCTCCCTAAAAACCCTCTCATGGTGGTGGAAAAGGTGTCTTCCCTGGCTGGGAACTTGAGGGGAGTTAACCAAGGCTCCGGGTTGATCCTCAGGGATCCATTCTTCCAGTTGGATGGGGCTCCCTAAAATTCACTTTGCTCCCTAAAAACCCACTGATGATGGTGGAAAAGTTGTCTTCCCTAGCTGGGAACTTGAGAGGAGTTAACCAAGGTTTCAGGTTGATCCTCACAGATCCATTCTTCCAGTTGGATGGGGCTCCCTAAAATTCGCTTTGCTCCCTAAAAACCCTGTCATGATGGTGGAAAAGTTGTCTTCCCTGGCTGGGGAGTTGAGGGGAGTTAACCAAGGTTTCAGGTTGATGCTCACAGATCCATTCTTCCAGTTGGACAGGGCTCCCTAAAATTCACTTTGCTCCCTAAAAACCCACTGGTGCTGGTGGAAAAGGTGTCTTCCCTGGCTGGGAACTTGAGGGGAATTAATCAAGGTTTCAGGTTGATCCTCATGGATCCATTCTTCCAGCTGGATGGGGCTCCCTAAAATTCACTTTGCTCCCTAAAAACCCGCTGGTGCTCGTGGAAAAGGTGTCTTCCCTGGCTGGGGAGTTAACCAAGGCAGGGTTGAGGGGAGTGCTCCAGGTTGATCCTCACGGATCCATTCTTCCAGCTGGATGGGGCTCCCTAAAATTCACTTTGCTCCCTAAAAACCTGCTGGTGATGGTAGAAAAGGTGTCTTCCCTGGCTGGGGAGTTAACCAAGGCAGGGTTGAGGGGAGTGCTCCAGGTTGATCCTCAGGGATCCATTCTTCCAGTTGGATGGGGCTCCCTAAAATTCACTTTACTCCCTAAAAACCCTCTGATGATGGTGGAAAAGGTGTCTTCCCTGGCTGGGAACTTGAGAGGAATTAACCAAGGTTTCAGGTTGATCCTCACGGGTCCATTCTTCCATTTGGATGGGGCTCCCAAAAATTCACTTTGCTCCCTAAAAACCCGCTGGTGCTGGTGGAAAAGTTGTCTTCCCTGGCTGGGAACTTGAGGGGAATTAATTAAGATTTCGGTTGATCCTCACGGATCCATTCTTCCAGTTGGATGGGGCTCCCCAAAATTCGCTAAAAACCCTCTCATGATGGTGGAAAAGTTGTCTTCCCTGACTGGGGAGTTGAGAGGAATTAACCCAGGCTCCGGGCTGATCCTCAGGGATCCGTCCCTCCGGTTTGGTGGGCAGTGGGTCCCGCCCTCCTGAGCCTCTCCCGTGCCTCCGCAGGGATCAGAAGGCCAC